CGACAATGGTCCAGTAAGCTGCAATTCTCACATTCATGTCGAACGCTTGGCTAAGCAACTGAGAGTTATACTCCCTCAGATGCGAGATTCCAACATCACCGTAGTTTGAATAGTTGCCCTGTACATGACCGATGAAGTTTGCTTGATTAGCAATCTTCTGTGTGTATGCTGTCATGTACTCAGGGTTACTTGTGTAGTCCGTCTGTTTCTCCATCTCAACAATCTCAACTACTCGGCTCACAGATTGTTCCTTGATCTTGGTGATTAGCGTTCGACCGGCTCGTTTGATGGAAGGCTGAATTTGAGGGAAGTTTTCAGAGTATTTGGTGATGACTGATGAGATAACAACTTCAACATAGTCCCATATCCCTCTGATGAACTCGACCGGCTTAGCATGTATTCCATCAACACGGTGTGAAAGAATGGCTAAGAAGGCTGATCTCGGGATGAAATTAGGCAACCCGATACATTTGCACTCTTCTAGGACTTTGATTTCATCCATCAAGAACTCGGTAACCGCCTCCGGCTTTGCTTGGAGGTTGTCAGAGAATTTGCTCAACATATCAGCCAAACGAGCAGAAGAGTGCATGCTTTGATCATCTGGATATTCAGAGAAATCTCCTTGGATAAGAACTCTTAGGAGACATTCTTTGACAGAGCCAATGATTTTCATGAATGTCATCAGAGCCTCCCCTGAAGATGTCATAACCATTGGCAGCTTCTTCAACTCGACTTCGCTTGTTTCCATCTTCTCGTTGATCTTTTGTACAATGACCGGCAAACACCGGCCAATCATTGTCGCCTGGATGTGAATTAACTTTTGTGCTAAAACAGGGATGCCAAAAATGTCATGGTCGATCATGCAAAGCAGAGGATGAGTCTTGAAAAGTAACTCTTCTTGCATCCTCGCTTCTTTGTAGGTTTCCTCCCCTACACGGTTCCGGACACAGACGTAACCTAGCCCGATATTCACATCGTCTGCAGTCACTTTCTGCAGGAGACCTTCAGGAGCCATGTCTGCCTTTGTGACAACAGCTAGAGTCCTTTCCCCTGTCTTGTCTACTTGCCTGGACATGCGGATGGATTCACAGGTGGTGAAGTCGACCGTAGCTGACAGAACGTTGAGAATGATGGACTCTTGTGGCTCGATGTACTTCATAATCATCCCGGAGATCTGTTCGTAGATGTTTTCAGGCTGTCCATTCACAGGAACCCGTGTTATACCGGGGAGATCAACCATTGTCAGATCAGGAACACCATCTTTTTTTACATGGAGGGTCAGGGGAGTGTCTGAGACACCTTTACCAGATCCTGCAACATATAGTGTAGATTATAAGAATCCATTACTGCAAGTAGGTTTGTTTAATAATACTAGAGCTTATGAATACATATATACATAAATAGTTTAGAACACAAGAAACTATTATTTTTTTGTCTCGAGCATGCTCTGCATATTCCTAACACTGTTGTTAAAGAGAAAGACAGAACTTACCAGCAATTGCCTCAGTTGCGGTGCAAATAGATTCGGCGATATGCTCCTCGTCAGTATCAACTCTTTTGCCATCAAACTCAAGCCAGATCTCAGGTTCAGGGCTAGGACTTCTCTGGAGTCTCATCACAAGAGGAACCCTAGTGCATATTCCTTGCCCACGAGGCAAACTGATTCCTGCTAAAGACTCGAGAACACTTGATTTTCCTGAGGATTGGTCTCCAACAACGACAATGGTGGGAAGCTGGATCCCTTCTCTCATCACGTTCAGGTTCCTCAACCGGTCCACAGTGTCAAGCAACGGTCTGATCCGATCATTGTAAGAAGATACAATGGATGCTTCAGTTGTGTTGACAATAGCAAGAGAAGGCATCCCGGTTTCAACATTGATGTCATAAACTTCTGGCATCTTACTACCTCCCATTTTTACTTCAGAGTATTAAAGAAAAAAATGACTCAGAAAGTAGTGAAATGATAAAGACGGAGAAGAGATTTATTTAGTGGGTGAGACTCTTGATAGTGGTGACTTATATATAGAGTGGCTTGTACTTCGTAGAAACTTGAAATTAAATTGTTGTTTTTGTGCAAGAGATAAATATTAGCTTTTTCTTTTGGCCGTGGATTCTCTCAATCTGTTTGTAACAGCTTTCCCTGACTAAGATTTAGCGTCACATCAGGGATTCCTCTTTTACAAAAGATTTTAAGTTGAGTTTATTAGGTGATTAATCCATATACATAAGGTATAATATCAGTTAGGCAAAGATAAAAGGAAAAAAAAAACAGATGAAAAATTTGTGACAAAATAAGTAAGTGACAATTGAGAACCTAAAAAATCAGAATTTTACTATTTTAATTTTCTCTATCATTTATTAGTAGTGAAAGTATGATATTTCTTTTAACATGTTTTAATGTAATATATTTTCTTACTAAAATTTAAACAAACAATTTCTCGTCGAATTCCAATTCCAAACATTAAGAATACTAGATTTTTTCTCCGCACTACGCGCAGATAATTTACTTGGAAGTTTTTTTGGAGCAAAGAATATACATGATTCATGTATGTAAAGTATAAAAAACATATAAGCTGATAAAAGATTTTAAGTTGAAGACATTGTAATTTTTAAACCATAATGTGAGCTTGTGTTGATGGTAGTCTATGGTTTGATGTTTTTTCCTTTTTGATTGTGTCTTTATAAATTTCTATAAAGTTCTTGATATTCTCCATATCTTTGATGGTGCTTGAACTTGTTCCTTGAGTAAAGGTGAATATCAATTTTCATAATATTAATCAAAGTATTAAGTGAATATTTCTGAAATATTAATAAGTTGATTTGTTTATCTTCTATTATTTTAGAATTTATGAATGTGGCTAAGACAACACCATCTTTGTGTGATGATGATGTGATTTCAGAAAGAGCAGAAAAAATCTTTAAAAGCTAGTGATAACGTAGGCAAAAATTTTAAAATGTATGTATGAAAAAAAGTTCAACCAATACATAAATTTCACTTTCTGTCAAAATATGAGGAGACTTTCCAAAGAGAGCTCCGTAATTTGAATGGTACGAAATGGAGAACCTGACGGCTTTTTAAATCATTTACAATCTTAAATGCATGTTTAAATATCATCATATAATTAAGTTTGGATCTTGGTTCTCTAACGCGAGGGTGAAGATGTGATATTTTCATAGACGCCTAAGTCTTGGTGATAGTTCTAATAGTTAAATCAGAAACCCGTTTAAATAAATGTCAAAAGATTTGTTTATTACCTTCATATGATAGTAGATTGTTGAAGATTTATTTATACAATTTTTTGGTGTGATTTTATACAATATGGTCTTCAATTTTATTGTAGGTGAATCTTTTCTTTGTAAAATTCTCATTCCGATTTTGCTAATAACACGTGAGATAGCAGCACATAATTATCCATGAGTGGAAATTTGTTTTGGTAAATATAGGAAAATCATTTTTAAGCTTTGATCTTAGTTCTTATTTATTGTCATAGCGTAACATAGTTTGATAAAACACTGGTGTCTATGTAGGAGAAGTTTTCTACCAACGTGAGAACCACTGACAATTTATACTTTCGATCGTCTAAGTAAGTCACAATGAGCCATGTATCATTACATAATTGTTTTCTGATTGATGTTTCTCTAAGCTTAATAGAGATAAAAAAATAAGTGTGAATCTATGTAAATACATATCCGGGATTTCCAAAAAAAAAAAAAACTCAACAGCATATTGTATAAGCATTGATTTCATCGACGATTTCATTTTGTGGTGCAAGTATAGATCTTTTTTGTGGCAAAGCTGTAGAATGCTTTCAAAATTTTCAGTTCTCAATATGTAATCTCCACCATTTGTTTGCTTGGTTCTTCATTAATCTCCTTGACCAGATATACGGATGAGTTTCTCGAATTAAGTTGTTGTGATGTGCCAATATGGTTTTTCTGATATTTGAAACCCAATAATTATCTGAAATCAGGGACTTATTTATCCCAATTAAAAATATAAACATATAATAAAGTTGTATTTTTTGGTCTTATTCGATTCGTTAAATGATTGGGACTTAGATTTTTATAGATTTTGTAAATTTTAAAATTTGTGAGATTTGTTAAATTTGGAAACAATTGTAGAGAATTTTGTATATTGTGAAAATCTATTGAAGTTAAATATTATAGTGATTTTAAGAATCCAAAAGATATATGTAATATTCTCAAAATCTTGTTTTCTGAGTTATAAAATTAACAATATAACTTCCAATACACTTTTTTTAATAGATTTATAAGATTATTAAAATTTAAACTTTTTGGATAACAAAGGATTTTGAATAGAATTACAAAATCATCAAACCAATAACACTAAATTTTAATAAAAATATAAGAATCAATAAACCAAAAGTACTAGACTTGAAAATTTTAATAATCTTTATAAATTTAATTCCCACTAACACCCCTAAATACTTATTATCATATTGTTAATTATTGTTTTGTTTATAAATTTACATGGTAAGTTAGATTGTGTACTTGGTTATAAAAAACTTGTTTTAAATTTGATGAGTATGGTATAAGACGATACTAAAACTCCTATCGTATTTTGTACCTTTTTGTAATATAAGATGTTTTACATTATACATATATATTTTTCTTAAATAGAAGTATTTAAAATACAATTTTAAACTAATTTATTAAACTATAAATTAAAGTAAATTAAAATAGTAAATATGATTAGGTATAAATTTTTATAAATTTAAACTTATTTAAATGCATTTAATAAATTTGTATTGTGAAATAGTAAGAAACGTAAAGAGTAATACATTAAATATCTTAATATTTAATATCAAAAGAAAATTAATAAATTTTATAAAAAGATCAAAAGGTTATCATATAAATTTTAGGTACCTCAAATTAGCGACAAAAGGAGCATCCTATGTATAAAATGATATGAACACGAGCTGCAAAAGGAGCATCTTATTGTATTTCCACCCAAAATCTCTAGTTTCAGTGACTTTTCATTAGACAGTTGATTGTTGTATCTCTTCCCAAGATCCAACAATGATCATACGTTTTGATGGATAATCAGATTTTTTCAAGTCATCAAGAAGCAATCTTGAAAGAAGAAAATGTCCTACATGGTTAGTGCCAACGCTTAACTCAAACCCTTCAGCTGTGAAAGAAGGTTCTTTAGCAGTTGGTTGGTAAACGGCAGCGTTACAGACCAGAACATCTAACGGCCGTTCTGTTCTACAGAAACTATCAACAATCTGCTTCGCGCTTTCTAGGAGGCGAGATCAAGATGCATCACTGTGTAGTCTTCCTTAGATATTCCTACGGATTTAGTTCCTTTCTCGGCTTTGAGAAAGTTCCTGCAAGCCATGATAACATGCTATTTCACTGTGTCTGCTAAAGCCTTTGCTGTAGCTAAACCTAGACCCAGGCCCGGACCTAAGCAAAGGCTTGGCCCAAAGCATAGGCAAAGGAAGCCTTTGCTTAGGTCCCAAAATTTTTTGAGGTCTTTTTAGGTCTACACTAAAATTTTTTTTTTTTTTTTTTGTAAAGGGACAAGGGCCCATTTTTTTGAATTCGAATTGGGCCTCCAATGGGTATGGGCCGGCCCTGCTAGACCAGAGGAAGCTCTGGTGATCACTGCAGTGCCTTTTCTCTGAGTCTTCTTTTGCTCCGGTGAGGCTTTAGTTGGAGGTGTTGCTGTAACTGTTTGTGGGCGGATAACTGTGGGAAAACGTGGACTTTGTCTTCTCTGTTCCTGTAACGGAACATAGTAAACAAACTCAGGTCATTCTAAAGTATTCTCTGTTGAGAATTGAACATTTTATAAGATGTTGATTTTTACCTTGACGGTTATCAGAGTGGAGAGCTTATCGGCTTTAAGATAGCTAGAAAATGAAAATCCAGTTTAAGTTGTCTCCTTTAGAGAAGCACTGAACTTACCCTGCAAAATCAACCATTGGTATTGAGTATTGAAATCAATGTTAAATGGCTACCACAATCTTTTACTAAAAAGAAAATTAAATAACATATGTGAAAGAGAGAGGGAGAGCTATAGACCTGATTATTCCCAAGGCTTACAGCAAGAAAGAACAGCCCTTCATCTCCAAAGTTGCATCCTAAAACATAATACTCAATGGTAAGCTACACACCCAATATCATGATAAGCCACAAGTAAATGGTGATTGATACGCCAGAAGAAAAACCTTAGAAAATCGAGGAATCTGAAAGGTATGATACTGAAAATCTCACCAGGCAGAACATATGAGAGACCCTTGGATTTGGTAGGGAGTAAAGGAAATGGACGATTTCGCCAGTGTATTTTAGTTGTTAGACACGTATTGATTAAGTATGGTGGTGGAAGTCAACAGTTACATCGGAGATTTGGAAAGGCAGAGAAACGAGAAGTGTCGGCACATCTTTATCAAAAGGAGATATTTTGGCGGTTTATTTTTGCTCTATAATTAGAAGTCTGACGTGGATACTAAAGATGATCTGGCATATTCTTATTGGTTAAATTTATTTATTGACGTGGACAGCTTCAGAGGGGTTTGTTAAACCCTTTTAATAGAGTTAGATGTCATTAACTATTACTAACAGTCTGGCAGTGAAGAATCATTAAAGTTTTCATCAATTCCTAGTCTTAATCTTTAATAATATCATAGTCTTGCTTTCTAATATATATATATATTCTTAGTCTTACATTTATACAAACTAAATTTTACCCGTATTTTGCAAGCGCAGAAATATTTTATGTTGAAAAATTCATTAATAATCAACAAATATGTTGTTACTTTGAAAATGATTGTGTATTTAAAATATTTTTGTATTTAAATCAGTGTTTTTAAATTCGACCCGAACCCACATTTTAACTGGTTAATCTAGTCATCCGATAATTTGATTTAAATCCATATTTAAAAAGTCACTAAACACCGAGACCAACGGTTGAACCGATGGATAACCGATATGTAATATTTAAACCTCTAAAATTAAGTTCTATTTTTTTTGTTCTTTTATAAATTATTTGATTTTGTCAATTATTTAATTTATCTAAATAACTTAATAAAGTGTTAGAAATTATTAAAAAATGAGAGCTAATATTTTGTATTGTTTGGACATAAGATTAATTATAGTGCTATTTGAAAACATTGATAATAGTATAACGAAATCAGTATATTATTTGGATGCATAGATAGTACTAAAAAGAAAAAAATACTAGGGATTTAATGTAGGTTTAACAATAATGTAGGATGATATATTTAATTTAAAAACTTACAAAATAAATGTTAGATCGAACACAATGTTTATGATTTAATAGATAAATGTTTTGATTTGTCACATGACGTCATAAACCCCTTTAAAACTAAATTTCTGATATGAAATCCAAATTCTAATGGGAACTTTTCTCAATCACATAGCTCACAAAAAATGAAGTCCATAACCATAAGAAATCCATGGGTGAGATATGTTTATATATTGTTCTGGTTAGTGCCAAAAATGCCCTTTAACTGGGTGTGGAAAGACAACTGTCACTCTCCTTTCGTTTCCATATCCATTGCAAATCACCACATCCTTTCCTGCTAACGAAAACGAAGTAAAAGCGATATAGATCGAGGGGTTTTGATAAGGACTATTTGGGGCTTCAATTGTGAAGATGAGTTTGCTACACCCACTTTGGAAAGAAGCTGCGACGACTGTTGGTTACGGAAAGAAGTTTGATTACGAGGTTAAGGGTCTCAGCGACAGAAAAGTTAGCCCGTGGTGAACGTACACAGGTACTATTACAATCCACTTCGAAAGGTGAAACCGATTTTTATGTTTCATTATTACTCGATCCCATTATGTGCAAAACCGTCCCGACGGTAAGTTTAGACCCTCATATCTGAAAGTCGTTTTTTTTTGTGTTCAGATCCAGGGGATCGGGTATCAAAGCGGCAGAGAGAAGGTATGGGAAAGAAATATTGAATCTTTTTTTTATGAATTCAGTTGGTAAATGCGTGTCAGTTTACTATGTTGTCGACATCGATTAGAAAAACCCAGTTTGGTGATTGGTGTCTGTGGGATCAATTGATGTGATGAGGAAATTTAGTAGATCATAGATGTGTGTTTATAGTATAGAACCTTGTAGAAGGGTATTACTAACATCTTTATAGTATAGGAGTTCATGGTTGGTAAACGCATTTAAATGTGAAATATGTACGTTTATTGTTTAAACTTCTAAACTAGCAAGGGAAGTAGGTTGATACCGTATATACGTTATTGCTTCTCACACCGAATTTATGTGAAGTGGATACATTACTGTACTATTGGTGAATGTATATAGTATAGAACGATGTTGTTGATACACCAGTGGTGTAAGAGGCAACGTATTTTGCCTAAGCGTGTTTGTATATGGGTTCCATTACACTGTTGTTGGTAACGTTTTCTTTTACATGAGACTGGGTTCGTACCTATCGGCCGAAAGAGAATAAACAACTACTTGAATTTGAGATGAATATAGGTGATAAAAGATGCTCTTTAATTTCTCGACCAAAAAATGCAGTTTCCGTGTGTGCTGAATGTTATATTTTTACTATACTTTATCCTCTATATGATAGCCTTATTTGTACTTGCATCTGAACAGATGAGCTTTCACCTGCATGTTATGACTTGGCGAATGAACCTTGTTTGCTATGCGCCCTCCACATTCTATATTATATCCCCAATAGTATACCACATTTGTTTTGAACCTGCATTTGCCTTATATGTTATTTACTTTATATATGTCCTCTATATACAGTACAATCCAACATATGCAAACCTTTTATGTTCCCACTGTGTATAATGTTTATCTTATTATATTAGAATCCACTTTGGAACCCTCAAAAGACATTTGCCTTTAGTGTCTCTCATTTTTCCGGTGCCTATACTACATCTTATATAGTATAGTTTAATGTTTTTTATTGGTCATACCCATAAATGATACATATGTTTCCATATAACTGATTGTTGTAGGTTAAGTCACTACAAGAAAACACAACCTGTTATATATGGAGGAGGAGTTTTTCTCACAATCTGTTTGTGCCTAAACAATTTCTTGTTTCTTCGGTATGGATGGTCAATGGGAAGAAATCGACAGTGACAATCGAACCAATTTGTATTTCTACTTTTCTTCAGTTGAAACGCATATGTCGTTCCATTACAATATGGAAAAGCTAATCTTTCATGTGTAGTCCATCCCGACATCATCCCATAGGTAGGAAAGTCACTTATGTTCCACGAAAGCATCGCTCGCATCGTAAAATTCGTCCTCGCAGTCATACGTCCTCACCCCTGTTGACCAAAATCCTTTAACTATTTTATCAGTGGTTGTAGAAAAACATCTAGAGACCTTTTTGGATGGTTCAGACCAGGTATTGATATGGTCAAGAATAGCAACTCCCGTAGCATGCACATCTCCGGTGGCTGGTTGTATGGCGTAAGAAAGACTGGCCACAATGAATATGTCTCCTTGGCTCTTGCATCTGATGGATGAGTCATCTCACCATCCGTCTGAGTATGCTCGGCATCCCATCTCATCCCTCCAGTAATCTGCTCAGATTGGTACAATTTTTTTCAATCTGTCTGTAATTGGAAGGTACCACATCCTTTGGTACGGTACCCTATAACGTCCTCGTCCTTGCGGCTTGAATCGTGGCTTCTTGCAGAATCAAAATTCTTCTAACTTCTCATCATCTCCTCAGTAGATCATGCAAGTGTCGATGCAAACATATATCATCTCCGAAGACAGTCCAAGACTATAAACCAGTTTCTTAATCTCATAATAAGAATTAGCAGATACATTGTCTTTCGGCAAATACTATTTAAACAAGTCTGTCCATTCATTCATGCAGCTTTCAGGTATATTGTGATCATTTTAATATTCATCATTCTATCAGCAAACGACAATTTAGAGATACCTTCTCGACAACCACTGTAAAGTGGCTGATTCGCAGCATCTAACATTTCATAAAACTTTTTTGCATCTATGTTTGGTTCTTCATCTTCATCATGAGCTCCCAATGCATCAACTACAATATCATGAACCCTATCATAATCTACCATCTTCTCCTTCTGATGGTAACTATGTTCATTATGCAAATGATGATCAACCGGTTCTTTCTGAAAATTGCTATTACTACTACTAGCTTCATTTTCATAATTATAACCTTCTCCATGTTGAAACCAGATATAGTAATTTGGCGTGAAACATCTATTTGTTAAATGCTTTCAAACATTTTCACGATTTGCCATTTTCGAATTGTTGCATTTCCGACAAGGACAAAACATCTTACCGCTTTCTTAGGTGAGCGGTGTGGAATCTGGTTGATGCATAAATGTCTCCAGCTCTTCGAGATATTCTTTCGTCACTCTCCCGTTAACATCTCTGTGCATATACATCCACCTCCGCAACTCGAAAATATTCCCAATGACCGACATTTTTTTTCTTTCAAGTTTTTATTTTTTTCTTGTTGGTGTGTTTAAAATGATGTTAAAACGTCCATATTTATAGAATATTTTCAAATATGGTTGTTGAATTTTTACGAGAAATTTACGATGAAATTTTGTTAGGTTGCCAAAAAAACGTGTTACAACTACAAAGTTGGTAGGCTCGAAATATCGTCGTTCAATAAATGTAACATATTTCCTCGTAAAGTAGACGCTATCGTTATGTCGAGTTTATGAGGAAATCATTTTTCTTCGTAAAAATCACGCGGCATTACGTCTTTTTTATGACGAAATGATTTTGTCGTAATTTTACGAAAAACTAACTTCGATTTTAAATTTACTCGTACGGTACTTGTAAATTCGATGTAAATTTACGAGGATTAAGTTTCCTGATTAATTTTCGTTGATATAGTTGTATTTTCTTGTAATGAGTATTACAATAGAAATATCACACTAGCCTCATAAAAACGCGTAAACGAGTGAAAAGAGAAAA